GAAAACTGCCACATGCTCACATCTTAGTGCAAGGGGTTGTGGGTAATATTAGACACAAAAAAAAAAGTAGTGTTCCAAAAATCTATCTTGGGCACCTTTGTCATCCAATTGTCTACGTACCGTTTTTTGTTACTAATTCTTATCTCGCATACTATTTATTTATTATGCAAATTGAAATGCAGTGCCTTCATTTGCCATGTGATCTAACTTAATACGGAAAAGAGTCTCTACTGGCCTCTAGTGGCCGTGAGGTGAAAGCAAACCCAAGTTTTGTTCTATAGTACTATAGTTTTGTTCTTTACAGATGTTTTTTTCCCAACACATATTTCTATATTGATGCAACAATACACTAAACGCATGACCTCATCACCCCCAGTCATTCCCTTCTGCTGGATAAATAGAAATAGTATTAATTTTTCTTCTTTATGGTTGTGCTTTGGCCAATATGACTGTTTGAAACGATAAACAGAGCAGCAAGAAGACTCATTTCCAAACAAGGACATATTCACACCATTACATGATTATATGGCTAACATCCGACCATACAGTAAAACTGGTTCACTAAACAAAGAAGGAACAATCTACAGGCAACGAGTCCCCGATGTTGTCTTTGGATGGAGCTGGTTTTTGGTTTATTGCTCTTTGGCCGTCTTGCAGCAGAAGTATAAGCTACACAATGTGATGATGACCTGAATCAACCTAGTTTAAGAACAATGGGGTACTAAAAATATCACTCTCCTCATCTTCCATCACGAGAAGGGTCAGTAGGCTATGCTACAGATGATGTTTTTGGACGTTGAGAGAGCCTGAGATCTATCTGGGCAAAACATGCAGTTATAAATAACAGCTGCTCAACGTCCATGCAAGAAGAACATTTCTGTTCGGACATGTATAAGAATAAAAAAGAAAAATGGATGCAAATATAGGCCTATTGGTTTCATCTTAAAGGAATAGTTCACCCAAAAATGTAAATATGCTGTTAGTTTACTCACCCTCAGGCCCTCCAAGATGAAGGTGACTTTTTTTCTCTCCAGTTGAATAGAAAATAAGATTTTTAGCAGGTGATTCAAATAATGTAGGCCTACGTCAACGCGGTCACTTTAAGAGTAAAACAATATAGGCTATATACAGGCTAAATTAAATTATATCCATTGATCCGGACGATACATTGAGGTCTTTTGAAACGAAACAATCGTTCTGTGTAAGAAATTGAACATTATTTACAACAGTATTACCTGTAACCCACAGCCTCGGCAAACTGCCCTGACTCGTTCTGGAGCGCGAGCTTCCTGTCGCATTGTGACCTGTTAATTTTTTTTATTTATTTTTTTACTGTAGCCGTTGACTTGCGTTAAATGATTCACCAAAGAAGAAACACGGTTCCAGCTAAAAATCTTCTTCACCATTCTACTGAAAAAGAAAAAAAGACCTACATCTTGTATGACACCTACACATCTTGGATGACCTGAGGGTGAGTAGGCCTACATTAACAGCAAATTTTCGTTTTTGGGTGAACTCTCTTTAAACCTGGAAACAAAGTTTTGTAGCATTTTTTTATTATTATTAAAAAAGCTACAGTATGATCTAAAATGTAATTTCAAAAATGTTGCACTATTTCTGGATCGCTAATCTATTAAGCATAATTGTGATAAAGTGAGATATTCCTGCAAATACCCTTTAACCCTTTAAGTGTCACCCCCCTTTTTTTGAATATACATGAAAATGCACATTTCAAACTTAAATGGTTGTAATTCAAGAATGCTTTGGAATATAGACGTAAGATTGGTCTCGTTTTAAAGAAGACATTTGGCAGATTTTTGTAGACGTGAAATAAATTAAGAAAGTGAAACAGAAAAAAAGTTATAGAAGTTTGAGTTTATGAAAATGTACAATGTAAAAAATTTAATTATTCATATTTTATAGAAAATATATATTTTCAAAACCTGGGCGACTCTAAAACTGCAACAAAAGAAATCAAAGTCAAAAATATGAACAAGTTGTGTTTCAAATTTTAAGTTGATATCTCAAAAAATGAGCTTTCAGTAAGATTTTGTTTGGGCGCAGTAGGCTACCAAACTTTTTCACTAGATGACAACCAGACTCCATTACTGCCCATATAAGGGCGCCTCCATTTCCAAATGTGTTTTGAGTGATATGAACCATTATTTCCACAATTTTCATACAATTTATGAAGTAGACATCCTATTCAGAAGTAATATGAGAAGTTTGGCAGATTTTTATATGAATTCAACCTCTAAGAAACACAAAAAGAACAAGTATGTGCGTTTTAGCTTCCTGCCACATCACAAATGGTGAATCTATAATTCAAAATCCTTTATATAAAAAAAAAATTCAGACCTTTTTTTCTAAAATAATTGAATGGATGCTATCTTTTGAACTCTTGGCATGAAAACAAACTGAGATTTCTACCCTCCTTTCATGATTTTTCATGTTCATCACTATTTCAAAATAAAGGTCTAAACACGCCTTAGGAGTATGAAAATATTCTTGTTGCAAATTGATGAATTATGGCTCCTCTGTAATTCATTTTGAAAATCAAGATTAGTCAAGATTAGTTTAGGTTTAGTATAGGATATTACTGTTTTAAAAATGTAATGGATTTGGGCCCCGGTGGGCCGGTGACACTTAAGGGGTCTGTACTTTTTAACTATATTGTTATGCTGATAATATAATTTATTTTTTTAACTTTGAAAAATGTTTGGAAAAGTATTACAACAATAAATTGGAAATTATGCATTGGAATAGGAAAAGTATGCAAAAAGATGCATTTTTACTAGTGGTCTCAGACCTTTGGACCCCAGTTTATATGACACATTCATACAGTTTTAATCTCAGAAAACATTTGGTTGTTTGTGAATCATTTGTTTGTACATTTACAACAATCATGTTTCATACAGGAATCAGAGTAATAAAAAAAGAGGCACAATCTGCATGGCAGTACAACATTTTTTCCACATAATATTATACAGCTTTTCTCTTTATGTAAATATATATATATAAATCTTCTCTTGCTATAGAACACACCTGCTGTCCCATCAAACGCAGACACTTTAAGGCAACAATTGTTCAAACTTCACAGTTTCTCAGTTATCAATAGTTTCTGTTTGTCTTCACACATATATTAATATAAAATCGCTGCATAGGCAGTGAAATATAATCCTAGACATGCTGCAATTCATACCTGTCCTTATATACAGATCATATAATGGCAAATGCCTTGCAGAAAAGTGTGATGTGTCAGTTGTTTGCTTGTATTTCTTCTTTCAATTATGAAAACATGAGTTAACAACTTCATTTCACACTCTATTCATTATTAAGATATATGAATAACAAAAGGAAAAGCATTAAGACGGAAGCGTTTCAAACCAAATTCACTGTATGATGGGTTTTAACATTGGGAGGAATTACATCCTTAATCAGAACCTACTAAAATTTAAACTAAATGTATAATTACAAGTTATAATTTAGAAAAAATGGCAGTATGGGTATTCAATGAACTGCAACTGTGATTGTCCACTATGTTCTCTACTTTGGTTAGATTGATACCTCCAGAAATCCATTTATTCAACATGACATCATGACTTTGCGTAAACATACACGCCACTTTCAATTCAAGTGGCGTGTTATTTATACGCATTTTGAGCTATCCGCGTGTATGTCCACGCCGAAATCTTTTGCGTGTATGTCTACGCCATTAAATGTCCGAGTGATTCCGCGTGTATGTGTACGCTGTTAAATGTCCGAGCGAAACGAAGCAAAATCTATATCTACATCTGTGGAGCGATATTTCTTTTCCTAGGATGGTAGGAGAAGACTCATAAATGGAATTAACCCCAGTGACGGGTAGGTTTAGGGACGGGGTTGGGGTAGGTCATATATTTATATATATACATAATACATTAATATAACGTTAAGTCAAAGGCGTTGATAAACACGCTGAAAAGCGATTATGCGTGTTGATAGCACGCCAAAAATGGAAATACGAATTGGCGTGTCATACATACGCCATTTCATGAGATCAGTCTGATTTATTACACTTTTGTGCAAGATCTAAATGAGATTTGATTGACAATCACATTAAAATATGCTTATTTATCCTCATTTAAATATTACAATGATTTCAGAACTAAGTGGTCTAAATGTAGATAAAACGCTTGCATTCTGCATTGTTGTTTTATGATGTGGAAACACTACATTAATCTTAGAGAAATTTGAGGCATTAGAGTTCTCTATCAAAAAAGAGAAATAAATTAATTGTCAATACTGCGAGTTATGGGAATTAAAAAATCTATTTTGTGCAATTGGTGTGTGTGCAAAATATTTCAGCAACAAAGTCACATTTGAACTGTAATCCATGATGAAAGTTTTTTACAATTAGTCAAATATATACATGATACTGTTTCATGTAAAAGCAAACCAGTGAGGCCTAAAAGTTCTTATAAGGACTGCATGCATTCAATTGCATCGCATTTTTACAAAAGAAAAAAGTTAAATTGTTTACAGTACCGATTCGTTCAGGTATTTATGTCTGACTGGGAGTTTGAAAATAAATATGAACTGACTAGCTGAGCTATAATTAATGCAATATGGACAAAATTATAGAGAAAAGAGCAACCACATGGACTGCCTAGAGCCCCGTTCACACTACACGCGACCAAGCAACGCCATACCATTCATTTCAATGGGGAGCTGGCGATTTCCGGCGACACGCGCGACAGCGACCGTTGGCGACCGGATGGGGCGTGTCTGGCGACGCGACAAAGTTGAGATCTGTTTAACTTTATGCAAATGAGGAGCGACTTTCGGGAGCGACAACCAATAGGAGCGGAGCGCGTATGATCCTTCTCCACATCATTGGATGTCATTCATAAAGGCAACCAGTAGTGGGAACTCCCACTAGCGACCTCATCGCCAGCCACTGGCGACATGCAGCGACAAGCCGCTTGTAGTGTGAACGGGGCTTAATAAGTGGAAAAACATTTGCAGTTCATACATTCAACCACCGGGGATGCTATAGCTGAAAATGAGTGCCGGGCATTTCTCCATAAATCTGTGCTCAGATCAGCAACATTGAATCTTTAAACACGTTTCATATATAAAGTCTGTGCTTACAAATGCCCTGTCTCTTCAGAAAGGTAAGCAAATACCCAGCAGAGGTATACTGGGTAAAAATATTCACATGACAGCCTTTGAAGAACACACACTTGATACTACAAACATGTGCTCACGCACATTGGCAGTTGCATGTGGAAGCAATGTTGTCACTTCAGTCCATAAGGAAAGCAGGATGTGGGCCAAAGAGCTCCTTAGCAAAGTATATCACTGTTGGAAAGATAAAAAAGGAAGGTCAGTGCATCAAACGTGATAATTTCATTAGAGGGGGTAAAGAACAAACCAAAAAAAAAAAGATACAGAAGGTGCAGAAAAGTAATAATCAATGAAAGCAAATAGAAAGTGTGGATACACTCACAATTCTGGCGTAATCAGTGGCAAAGGTCACTCCTTTACTGGCCCTCTCCTGTGAACCACTGCTGCTGCCGCTCACTGAGTTCTTCCGTATGATACCTGAAGTGTGTTTGTGGAAATTACAATAACACATGTATGAGTTACGGTCATATCTATGACCAATGAATGGCTGTTATAATAAATATATATTACTTTGCATTCGTGTGAATCTGAAACAGACATGCACATTTCAAAGTAACCATAATAAAGGTTATTGTATTTTTCCAAGTATCATTAAGTGCACACAGTTACTCACTCTGACATGCTCTTAAAGGGAAAACGCTCTTTAAGAGATGCCCTTAACGGGTTAAATCTTTGCCATAATCGATCATTACCCATTTAAGTCAGAGCTAGATGATGAACTTAATTTTGAATGTCCAGTATATGTCCAGTATCAGCCAATAAACATCCAATGTCTTTTGATGCCAAATAATAAAAAAGTTTAATGATAATATCACAGCTGTTGGCTGATTATTAATATGGTACGGATATTTTGTACACCCCAAATGCCAAAGAAATATTGAAGAAATAAATGTAATTTCTGAAACAACTATTCTTTTCAGTTGACATCATCGAGCCCTCTTATTTTTCAACCTCATCAACAACTTGATGACTAGCGCCCACTTTTCATGATCCAATCAATTCCCGGGGGAAACAATTAAGTCCAGTTTCACATTATTAAAGGATAAATAGGTTATGAATACAGTTCGGTAACGCTTCCTTTTATAGTCCTGTTACCCATGTACTTACTATGTACTTATTATAGTAATTATAATTACTGGGTAATAACTAGGTAGGTAGTAACCCTAAACCTACCCCTAACCCATGTACTTACCTTATATTAGCCAGTACTCTCTAGGTAAGTACACTGTTAGTACACGTACTGTACTGTAAAAATGGTAAATGGTAAATGGACTGCATTTATATAGCGCTTTCACAGACCCAATGGCCACCAAAGCGCTTTACAATTTGCCTCACATTCACCCATTCACTCACTCATTCATACACCGACGGGCGGTGTGTAAAAGGAAGCGTTACCTACAGTTCCATGTTGAAATGTGGTTTGAAGCAATAAAAAAACTTTGTAACTTCACCTATGGCACCTGTAGGTGGCAGTATGTCCAGTCTTTGCAGGCTATTTCGGCGAGAGGTGGGGTACCCTCCGCTCTTAGACAGGCGGCGCTGGCGACTGGACAACATGGCCGCTGGGGACACGATTCCCGGAGGGGGCACTTTACCCATCCGTTTGTAGAGCTCCTCAATCTCTAGCTTTTGAGAGGTTTGGAGAGCCTGCACCTCTGCCACATGTCTGAGAAAGAGGGGGAAGGAAAGAGAAATGATGAGGAACAGAATAGAAAGACAACATTCTCAAGGCAGTGCTTTTTAAACTTTATCACGCAATCAGTTAATTCACAGGTGATTAATCAGTCCATGAATTTCATTATTTGAATAATTATTTAAAATTAATATTTTATTAATTTAGGTTTAGATTACTGAAATCCTAGTCGATCTCATTCCCCAATATATCATAGGATATATAAATAGTTTGTCTGAATTCCTATATTTTTGCATATTTTTACACTGTATGTCATCAGATCTTTAACCAAAATAATATAACTGATGTAAAAACAAAAAAAATAAATGTGATTCTTCATTTACAAAAAAAATAAAAAAATTCTTTAGTTCTAAATGTATTATTAGTTCTTCAATGATGGCAAGGCGTTCAGGTCCTGATGCAGCAAAACACCTCCATACCATCAAAATACCACCAAAATGCTTGTTGGTATGAGGTTCTTCATATGAAATGCAGGGTTTGGTTTTTGCCAAACATAGCAAGGCCCATGTGTACAAAAAAAGCCTCACTTTTAATTAATTTGTCCATAAAACAAAGCAAAGACTTGTTCCACACCTGCAGACGGCATAATTGAAAACTTTTCACAGCACTGAACACGCTTGGACATGTTCAAAAATTGATTTAAATGATTTGGGATTAAACCTATAAAGGACAAAGATTATTAGATTATTAGACATTCTAAATTATTAGAGTTTGCTGTTTAGCAGGTTTCACATCATGCTGAGGCACACTGTTGGAGTTTGATTAAACTCTTCATAATGTATAATGACCTGAGGGATTGTTCAATAGCCACAAGCAACCCACGAAACACACTATAGGCTCACCTCTCTCTGAGTTCCTGTAGCTCCTCATACATTCCCTCGTCTTCACTCTCTGTCTCGTCGCTGCTGGCGTATGATGTGCTGCGCGTGTAGCTTATCCAAGGCTGATTTAGATTGAACTGAGGGCTCCCTGCTGAACTGTCCAGCAAACTCACACTTATCCTCCTCCGCCTCCTTTCTGTCTCCTCCTCCACCTCCTCCTCTTCTTCACCTCCACGCCCCTCGCCTGGTTCTACAACCTTTCTGTCCACGGTTTTAGTTTCTCCGGTCCACAAGGGGGCACTCTCTGAGCTGCGCAAAGTCTCACTAGGCCATTTGGTAAGTGGTGGTGATTCATTCAGAGAGCTGGGACTGCTTTCTGATTCCGCCTGTACGTCTGTGCTGCTGTCTGATTGGCTGTTGTGTGCGGGGGGCATGGTTTCGGGAACTATTATAGGACATGTTTGAGCCGGTATGGATGTTGGCAAAGCTGTAGGGGTGGGAGTTGGCGTTGGGCTGGGAGCTGGAATGGGAATCTCCTTGCTTGGACTGACTTGAAACCGTCCCACTGTGACAATAGACTTTTTCTCTGTAAACAAGGAGACACAGTGTGGACAGTGAACATGTTATAACAGCAAGACAATCAAAAACTAGATTTGTACACTTTCTAAAAACAATGTGAGTTGTAATAAGGGGTATAAAACTTATCAAAACTAACTGAACAATGTGCTAAGTATGCAGTGAGCTCTTACAGTCAATAGATGGCAGCTGTGTGTTTTCATTTTAGCCACTAACAACGCAATTTGACATTTTAGGAACAGAGTTGGAGGGACATGACATGGAAATAATCCTGATCAAAATATTGCAACAAAAACCAACATTTTTGTATGGCTTTCACAATCATCATTCTATCACAACCAGACGATAATTCCAGTCAGATATTTTGCTAGAGGTGTTACAGGACATGTTTATTTTCAGAAAGACAGCAAAAACCTTACCTTTAGAGAGGACTACTGCTCAAATTATTTGGTCTAAGTTTTTTTTTAAATGTTTTTGAAATAAGTATATTATGCTCACCAAGGCTGCATTTGTTTGATAAAAAAATACAGTAAAAACCAGACAACTTCTGTGTCTTTGTGTACATGGAACATAGGGTGTGTACTTATTTATGGGTGTGTGTGTGTGTGTTTTCACAAATGGAAAGAGTGCAACTCACCTTCAGATATAGGCGAGAGTCTGGATTTGGCTGCAATGGTATTTGTTTCAGACACTGCCAGAGACATGGATAAAGTGGGGGAGGGCCTTGGGACAGGCGAGGACACCTTTAAAAACAAGTTGAAAAACATGAATAAAAGTGTTAACCCCAGTAGTCCTTCTACAGGTGCTTTAAGACATACAGTATAATAACAGACAACACCCAAGTCAAATAATTTACACGCTCAGAACAGGTTTGTCTGAGTATGCTAACAAAGATGACAGATAGAAATGTTTCACTTAAGAGTACACCATCATATTTATATTGACAGAAACACTAAAAAGAACGTATTGTGTCTTGTGTCTTTGTTTAAATGTTACACATCAGTAGAAGAACAGGTTTGGCTTCAGATGACTTTTAAGTTATAGTTCACCCAAAAAAAAAAGAAAGAAACTTTTTTCATTGTTTCTCACCCTCATGTTGTTTCAACCTTGAAAGACTTAGTTTCTTGAGTGGAACACAAATGGAAAATGTATTTCTCAATTACAGAATGTTCAAAAAAATGAACCTAAATATATTCCAAATGGCTATATTCCAATTGTGCTGAAGACATAGTTTTGTGTAAGAAACAGATTGACATTTAAGTTGTTATTTATTGATTCAAACTTTGCTCATTAACAACATCAATAACATCTCGTAATGAGTCTGTTAACTCAACGTGATGATCTAAGTTTGAATATTCATGAGCAGACTGAAGATTCTGCAATATTCCTCCTTTTGTGTTTCTATAGAAGAAGAAAAAATCATACAGGTTTGGCATGTTTCGATAATGCCTCCGAATTTTCATTTTTGTCTGAACTATCCATTTATGAAAAAGTTGTTTGTGTGTTATTTCGAACACTCACAGTGTTTTGCGGGCTGGTAGATGTGGAGGATGCTGGTGAGCTTGTGCTTGATGGGGTGCGTGTGCTTGATGCTGAACTGTCTGTCCTCTCTCTGAGCTGCCCTATGAGATTAGACTGGCTCTCCACAAGTGGGCTACTTCTGGACACTGGAGAAGAGCTTGAGTTTGGGGGAATTGTCTGTTTAATCTCAGGAGTCGTGCATGTTCTTGGCTCCCCAAGTGGGACTATTGGTGTTTGGCTCCCTTCTTGAGGTTCAGGAACTGGTTCCGGAATCTGCGTATGAGCATCAGGGTATTGGTACATATCCATATACTGTCCGCTCATTGCCCCCTGGTGGTATGGAGCATCGGCATTGCTCATGCTTGCATACTGAGCTGGATACATGGGGCCATACCCTGGTTGAGGGGTCATTTGTGGGTGGTAACCTTGAGGGATTGATCCAGCAGGTATAATGGACTGTGCAAAGTTCATAGCTAGAGAAAGAACATTGGCCAGGGAAATAAAGGGCTGCTGGGAAGGCGATGGCCACATGCCTGCAGGTTGCGAACCAGGTGGAGGGGCAACTGGAAGCGGCAGATTGTTGGTTTCTGCTTGAGACGCCATCTCGTACTGCTGTACTGGTGAAACAACAGAAGAGGACGAAGAGGAGGAGGAGAAGTTTGGGTTGCTGGGGACACGGGTGAGTGGACTTGGGTTGAGGGAGGCGTGATCCATTTGGTAGGGGTAGGCGAAGTGAGTGTTCTGAACGTAAGGTGGTTTGGTGAACTGAGGGGGCATGGCAGACATCTGATTTGGCAGATATGACAGAATATCAGGGTGGGAGTACTGCGGGTAGTTGGGCACAGAAGACTGATAGGTCTGTGAAGAACCTGAAGGAAACAAAAATAGACAGAGAAAAACTGGGTTAAGCTCTATATACATAGTAGCAATCAAATCTCTCTTGGTTGCCAAGTCGTTGTAGTGTTCATTGCTAGGAGGGTTTCCTGCCTCTTCTCAACAAGCCATGACCTTTCACCCATTATGCCTTTAACTCCAGGTTGCTCTACAAGGATTGTCCCTGGAGTAAATGTACTGTAAATGTACTGTAAGGGACCATTCACACAGAATGCTTTTTTGCTTTGAAAAAGACGCTGGCAGTGGAATGGGGCGAAAAAGTCGGAAAGTCTTGAGGTGTGTTTTTTTAAAAGTTGAAATTTTTTTAACTTGAGTGCCGCGTTTTTAGAATGCCATATCATGCAAGAGGTGCTGAAAAAGACACGAGACACAAGCGCAACGGTCAAACACATCCGTCTAGCACATTTACATTAAAAACAATGGAAAAGTGGCGCAGTGGAATGGAAAAACCACGTTGTTAGAACCAGCCCTAAGGGTGTTTACAGACCTGTAGACTTTGTTCCAAAACAGAGACTTAAAATGTTACAATGTAGCATTTTCTTCATGGTTCAGATTTCTTTCACAAGGCAACATCTCAAAGTGTACCAAAATGTGTTTCTGCAAGTCACATGTGAGTAAAACTGTCCTCTCATTAATCAAAGTGCACCTGCTTAGATTCTGGGATTCCACTCATAGCGTCATCCATCAAGATGGATTGGCCAGTTTGCTCAATGGGCTTATTGTGGCTTTATCTGAAGCTATCTTTACACACTTTTATTATAAATTATGATACCACTTAATTCACTGGTCCAATGGGACGCATTTCTTTCTCACCACAACTGCCACAACTGAACGGCTCCAGAGTTCAATTTCAATCAGCCAATACCACCTCGTTCAGGTGATCTCGGACAGGTTGTTTTGGTGCTGATCCGAGCACGACTATCATGTTTAAATATACTTGCATGTCTCCTCAAATCACCAACTCTTGTTAAAAATTAATAACTTTTGGTCACGTTGTCAATGTCCACGTGAACGTATCTAATCACTTTCAAATGTTCAACTGAGAAATCATATGTTAAAAAAGGACTATCTGACGTTCTTTGACCTGTCGATGCCATGCTTGACTTTTGAAAAGACTCCACAAACATCATTGTGGCATAAAAACAAAGCCACAAACTGGGATGTGACCTGTCTCCTGAGGAGCAAACCACTTTGGAGCATTTATCAAACTCCCTGTGGCAGTCCTCTACTTCCTGTGCGGAATCGGATAGTGGGTACAATGACACAACTAGTCATCTTGAAATAGAGCTTTTATACTGTGCACAGGCTGTGTAATACATATAGTTTGTTCTCTCAGGTAATGAAATCTACTTGTTCATTATGAAGCAGCAGGTGTCAAAAGCAAATCCTGAGATGCGTCAACAATGACACTGGCATCAAAGCTTGGTCTCCATGGGGATGGGTGTTTAAAAAGCCAATTGCAAAGTGGGATACATAAGATATCAAGTTGTTCCAGTAGCCTCACAGCTAATGGTGTGCAGAGGAAGAAATGACATCAGCGAAAGAAACCAGATGAAAGAGCAAGACAGAGCGAATGTTCATTATGATGCACTGAACATCCTCAAGGGGTTCGGACTGTACTGATGGCCTGTGTGACTGAACATAGCACTCATTATCTGGGGCCGGTTTCACAAAGCTATTTTAGACCGGTCTATAGTGTTAGACAAGTCTAAAATTAGCTCATAGACTAGTCTAATGCAAGTTAGACTGTTTCACAAAAATAAAGACCGACTTAATTTAGACCAAAAAAATTAGACACCTTACCCCCAGGCTAACTTAGGTCTAATGCCTGGTTCAGATTACACGATTTTTTTGTCTGTTACGATAGTCACTGTGTCAGATTACGCGATTTTGACTCCTAAAATCTTGTCGTGTCGTGGACAAGAAACATGTCAGATTACCCGTTGCTTCCTGACCAGTCATCGTGTGCCGTCTTTAACGACGCGCGTGATGTCATCGAGAAGGCGAAACTAGTAGCGAGTGACTTCCGGAAACAAACGTAAACAAACAATGGATGAAGCGGTGAGTGTTGGCTGTCCTGTGTTCAGAAAAACGTAAAAAAAAGAAAGAAAACCCGACAATGGACACGTTCCTGGATTGCTTGAAGAGGACAAGTATGGGCTGTCAATCCTCCAAAGAGAATATGAGGTGAAATACTGTTTTCTGTTACTGTTGCCACAGCTCCACGAACCTTTCCTCCATGTCATAACTCCACCTAGTAGCACCATCGTCTCTCTTTCGTTTCGCCATTTTTGAAAGTTGTGTACGGAAAAGCTTCTGTGCTCCTATTGGTCAACCTCATACATGTGACGGAAACCATCGTGGACGACCGTTAAAAAAATGAAACAGGCTAGTCTTTTTGTCGTGATGTCGTGAAGCATCGCAGACGCGACGTAGGTTGTCGCCCACTATGACACACTATACAAGATGATACGATTGAATCTTGCGTCCTGACGCCCGTTGTCGTTTGCGAATCCCCACGACACCCTACGTCAAACGAATCGTGCCAAAATCGGGCTAAAATCGTGTCTGAACCAGGCATTAGACTATGTTACCTTGGCAACCAGCAGTAACAATCAATTACATTACAAACAGCCAAAAGAAAAGGTAAAATGGCTCATAATTTGTGGTTTGCTGACGACGTTATGGAGAGAGCTATGAGAAGGGAAAGCGTTTTCAGGGACCGCAGTAACCTACTGGAAATATATATTTTTGTATCTTTTCTGTACGTCTTTAACGCTCCGCTCAATGGTCGGATTAACGCTGTTAACTGTCTGTGGCGAGCAGGATGAGGTCGAGGGACGTGAGAGCGGCGCGAGGCCAGTGGCGTGATTGATAATGAGCGACACCTGCGAGTCGCACCGGTCTCGTATCTCTCACGGAGGAGCGAAAGCATTAAGGAGGAGCGACAACTGTGAAGATACGAGACCGGTGCGTCTCGCAGGTGTCGCTCATTATCAATCACGCCACCGGCCTCGCGCCGCTCTCACGTCCCTTGACCTCATCCTGCTCGCCACACTGTCGTAGCAATCTTTTTCCAAATTAAACATTTCTTCTTGTTACTACATTCTCCGCTAAATTTCCCAAGTAAAATGTCCTTGTAACTGTTATACTCCTCCAACAAACACATATTTTCCACTGGGGTAAACTGCACTGAGCGGTTGAATTCGCTTACTCGATCCGCCATGTTTTTTGTTTTGAAATGTGTCTTATTTTACCCAGAATGCATTGCAGTGTAGTCCTGCTTAAGATAGTCAGCGTCTTAAGTGCTTTGTGCAACAGTCTGATTTAGATGTCTATCTGAAGTCTGACTATCTACTATATCTAAGCCATAGTCAAAGTCTATCTTTGTGAAACCGGCCCCTGGAGAGACCAAAGATGATTGGGTCTGATATTAAAAGCTGATGGTGATCTGAAAAATTGTAAACATCTTCATGGTAAAAATATAACCATTTTACGTCAATCTAATTTGTTAATACTCAGCAAAAAAAAACACATAATCGAGTAAAGTTACAGATAAAATTATTCCATTACAAATTACAAGTCACCAATTCCAAAACGACTTGAGTAAAAGTCTTAGGATTAAATGAGCATTTTGTCCTTTTTAGGGTCGCATCTTGTGACATCATGTCCTGTTTTTGGTTTATTTACCTGTCTTTGGTCCGTGTTGCGTACCTGCGTTCATATTTCATTCGAACCACACACGAGTTCGTTTGGAAGTGGACTGAGACCCATCTTTTCAGTGGTCTCGGCTCGCTTGTTTGGTGCGCACCAGCGTTCGGATGGTATTCACACTTATTCAAATGAACCGCACTAACAGAGCAATCACACCAGGGTTAGTTTTAATCTAACCAAACATGCCAAGTGTGAAAACACCCTAAAAGTTGCTAATATATTGGATACTCAGTAAAACTACAAAGCAGCCAAAAAGATCAGTAACTTATAACTATTTACTCAAATACTTTACATCACTGATACTCCGATTGACAGACCTGAAGTTGGGAAAACACATTTTATGGAATAACATAAAATAATGGAGCAAACTACAGACCCATTGTTTGAAGAAGGAAAAAAAACATCTATTGGACTTGATCCAAGTTGCATGCAAAAACAGGTACAAAACACTTTCTATTCAGTAAATTTGACTGCCTCTATTTAACAAGTTTATAGCTACACTTTTGGGCTTGCATTCAGTTCTATGTAGTATAATTACTATTTGGATATAAATTTGACCTTCGTCCTCATGTAAATTACAATTCAGCATGATCAAGTTTGTAGTAATTATTAACGGAATTATTAATGATAACCATTTTATAATTTATGGATGTTATTAACACAAATTCTTAAAGTAGTATCAAGGAAAGAAGTGAATGATGCATAAAGAAGATAAGTGGTTTATTGTGCAGACAGATGAATGTACCTGTGGTGTGGAAGGATTGTGAACGCAGGGGCCGGACGGGTGGAACAGCATTAGGATCGACGTAAAAGTCAGCGCTCAGAGTAGGCGAGGAACCGCGGGTCACTGAACCTAAACTGGCACCAGCATAATCTGAAGGACATACACACAAACAGGTTTATATCATGGCGGGTATTGTTTTATATTGAGCAAATTAAATGTTGATACCCTAACCCTTAGAGAAAGCTTTTTGCATTTTTAGATTTTAATGAATACATTATTTAGTGCCTTCCTTAAGCCATTTTTGTGAGAATCAAATACATTAATACCGGTAATAAGATTCAAGACTGTATACTGATATAGAGCACACTGAGCATTTTACACATGCTTTATATGATCAGTGTTTGTGTGCACGTGTGTGTATGTGGCCTGCATGTGTGCATGTTTGTTACCTGGCAACGAGGAGGAGGAGTGCGTGCGAGCGAGGCCCTGTGTGTAGAGATTGGGCTGTGGGGAAAAACAGAGCACATGTTAGCATTAACGTCACCAAGTGACAAAGTTAGGAACACGTGTGTGAAAAGATAAGACTGTCACTCAAGCACGATTAAAGTCTCCAATCACACTGTTCCAGAGGCCTTTCTCACTAATGAATGTTACATATTGATGACTAAGTTCTCTTATTCCAATCAGTGTGAGGAAGGAACGACACCGCGTCTTTGTGAATTGTTATCACCAACATCACGATGACACCAGAAGATTGGATTTCTGAACCACAACATCTAAAGCTCACAGTAAACAATTGAACTCTAAACCAGACACACAAATAAAAAAAAAACCCTCTTATGAAAACCACGGAAAATGTATTCAACATCAAGATTTAACTTATTTCTCTTTAAGTTCAATTTAAATGCTCCTGTAGTGTGACAAATTACAGTTTCTCAATTAGTGAATGAAAAAACTCTAAAATGTATAATAAAAATATTTATAAAAAACTGTAAATTTATATAAACTATATATATAACTATTTTATACATAAAATAAATATAAAAAACATAATATAAATAATTATAGAATGATAAAAACACTGGATCCACATTTTATATGCTATTGTTCTTTTATTATATTATACATTTATTTTATTTTTTACCACTCACATACAGTATATTATGGCTGTCAATGTTAACACGTACGATTCATTTAAAATCCTTAACGCGTACATTTTTTAAAGCAAATAAATTACTGAAACTGCGTCAATAACGTCTATCTATCTATCTATCTATCTATCTATCTATCTATCTATCTATCTATCTATCTATCTATCTATCTATCTATCTATCTATCTATCTATCTATATATCTATCTATATATATATATTTTTTTTTTATATACTATATCTATCTATCTATCTATCTATCTATATGTATGTGTGTGTATATATATATATATATATATATAGTAAAAAAATAATAACAAATATTTTTAGAATAAAAAATAATAACATAAATATTTTTATACATTTTAATAAAATTATAAAAACACACCTGTGAAGCAGACAGTGTGCCGACTCCACTCAGGTAAGGCAAGCGACCGGTTTCTCTGGGATCGAGTGGTTCCAAAGGCTCTTTCCTCATCAGGGCTTCTGCTCGACGGATGATATCTCTCATGCGGTGGATGAATCCCTCTCTCTCCCCAGGTAGGATAAACTCATTATGTACCTAAAAGGAGTGCAAAGAGACGAATAAGTTAATTGGGTTGATGTAATTTGGAGTCTTCTTGCATGCTCTGTTGAGCAGACTTTATTAATGAGTTCAAAGGTCTCCTTAAAAGGTACTGGAATTAAATACAGAGCAGTGAACAAAGACATGTACTCATAATTGAGAATCTGGTGATAAACATTTCAAACCAGTTCTTTCTCCTGTACGCTAAAAATATGTCAAATATTGCTGACAAGTCACAATGGACACATAAGAACTGGTTTCCCACCGGTAATTGTAGAAGCAACTAAATGTTTTAGATGAACAGGTGAGAAAAATTGTGCATAGATTTTCCACTGTGCGTTTGAGGTTGCAGAGTTTGTGCAAACACAGAAGCTGAAACATCAACACTTCTCATGGTATAAATCAGTTCTCACGAGGAGGGCCGCCTTATCTGTGTCCTTGTGTCCTCTTTGACGTCCATAACTTTTAATTTACAGACATTTAGTGAAGTAGTAGTGGAGACCAGGGGCAATTGTAACACGTTTTATATTTTCCTTCAATACAGACTATGTCAGAATGATTACAATTACAATTTTATTCTTGTAAATTATGAAATGATTATATATTATAATTATTTTATATTTAATTTATTGTATTTTTTATTGTATATTTTAAAAAAAATTTATATATATTTTATTTTATTTTCGCTGTGATGCTAGCTCACCATCACTGTAGCGATGTCTTCTGGGTTGTCTCCATCCAGATCAAATTTAAATGTCACCATCTTGCTGTTATGAGTCTGTAGTTGACACTCTACAACCCGATCCACTTTATCTGACAGCTGCATGTAGAAAGACAGGGACGGGAATGAGGTGAGAACATTTATGAGTACATTACAAAGAAGCTATTGATTTCGAAAGCAGTTAGCAATTTTTTTGAGTTAGACACATTTAATTACAGCAACAGTATTAGCAGACTGTAAGGAAACCACGTAAGGACAGTTAATTAAAGCTAGATAATTGACTGATGAGTCACCCCGGTGATGCGTAGCCTTGAGCGAGCTCTCTTCCTGAGTAACTTGGTTCCGGTGCGTTTGTTCTGACCTTTCCCGCTCCTCTCCGAAAGACCCTCATTTCCGTCACTCAAACCAGAGGTGACATCAGAAGCATAGCTGTTCCGAGAGGAAGGATATAAAACACATGGTGACATTCCGAGTTCCTGAATTTCCCAGAACTCGACTTCACAGAATGTTCCTTTAATCAATTTGCCATAAGCACAAAAAAAAAGGCCAAGTCATTTAAGATAGATCTTCTAAAATCAGGTTGAACTAATTCTGTATAATGCAGCTGTGTCCTTTGTGTGCCCATTTATATTACCTTTGCTTTGCCTTCATCAAGCTTCCAACAGAAATGCTTTTTAGGGTATTATGCTCCCCTGAGCTAAATCATTCCCATTAATGCTCTTACCACTAGTATATGTGTGTGTGTGTGCCTGTATACGAGAAAGCAACTGCTCTCCACCGGAGCATTACAGCCACCGTGGGTATACGTGGCATGTTGGTCAGTTGGTGAGTAAGATTACAGCTCTCACAGCTGGGATCAGATCCACATTTTCTTGACGTCAAAACAAAAGCAACATCCACATTCCCACACATACTGAGGGAGGTAAACAACAGTCTTTTTATCGGGCTGATTCTGTGTTCACAGCTTAACAGGTTAAGAGCAGGATGAAGGCGTTGAAGTGAACTAATTTTGTCAAATATTGACATATATCCCCTGATTAGTGCATAGGGAACTGTTAATCAGAACTCAGCTTACCTGTCGACAGGAGAGGAAAAACCACTGGCACTTCCTGACTGGGTCCTCTCTGTATTTTGGGACACAGCAATGCTCTGTGGGTGGGCCAATGAAAAATTGTTAGCAATGCAAATCATAACTCAGTTTAGGTAAACCTCATTCAAATGAGCATTTTATTGGATGGTTTAAACAAATTTACGGCATTTTAAAACTTCTTATTCATTATAATCTCTGTAGTGTCAGTCAGAAATGCTCTGAAATCTTACATTTTCCCTTTAACTTTAAATTATTAGTTATGTATACAACCATTCAAAAGTTTGGGGTTATTAAGATTTTACTGCTTTTAAGATTTCAATGCGTACAAAGGGTGAATTTATTTGATCTAAATATACAGTAAAACAGTAACACTGTGAAACAATATTACAATAGTTTTCTATTTTAATATCATTTAAAATTGTATTTATTCCTGTGATGGCAAAGCTGAATTTTTAGCAGCCATTACTCCAGTCTTTGCACTGACCAATAATGACCAAAAATTTTACTGACTCCAAATGTGTAATTGAAAGGGTGGGTTGGTAACCTACCGAGGGGAAACGGAGAGCTGGGATTGCAGCAGCTGGAGTGGGAGTGGCTTCGGTGGGTGGGGTTTCCACACGAGGTGCTCCACTGATTGGTTGTGGAACTGTGAAGGGTTGGTTTGTTACAGGAGTTAGGGACTCTAAAGGGTCCTGAAGCCCAGAGGGGCTGAGGTAGCCGTCCGTCTCACAGTCAGCTGCCATGGTCATCGTCATTCAACCAAACAAAAGAAAAATAGTTTGTTAGTGTGCAGCTAACTCTTACTACTAAGTGCATATATATGTCATGTGTGACACGGCAAGGCACCAGATTATACAGTGACTTTCATGGAGGTTGCTTATTTTAAAGTTATTTTTCCAATTTTTAAAGTTCAATAAATCTGTTGAATTTTTCAATGTACACTACTGTTCAAAAGTTTGGGTTTGGTTAAATTGTTTTAAATGTTTTTGAAAATGTCTCTTATGATCACGAGGGCTGCATTTGTTTTATTAAAATATAGTAAACGTATTGTAATGATGTGAATTGTGAAATATCATAACAATTAAAATATATTTTCTATTGTAATATATTTTAAAATGTAATTTATTCCTGTGATAGCAAAGCTGAATTTTCAGCATCATTACAGTGTCTTCAGTGTCATGTGACCATTCAGAAATCATTCTAATTTGCTTTATCAAAGTTGAAAACTTATGTACTGTTTAATATTTTTGTGGAAACTGTAATGCATTTTTTCAGGATTCTTTGATGAATAGAAAGATCAGAAGAACATATATGTGAAATAAAACTCTTTTGAAACAGTATGTCTTCACTGTCACTTTTGATCGATTTAATGTATCCTTTCTGAAATTCCTTTAAAAAAAATCTTACTGACCCTAAAACCTTTGGACAGTAGTGTATTGCTGATATATAAATCTATAATAAAATGATACATAACATGCTCACTAATTGTAACCAAAATGGAATGAATTGGAATCGAGTGACAAACAGACAATCAATTATTTTTCTTTATTTTTCTTTAGTTGTAAAAAGTTGTTTCAAATCAGTCCGGCCCAAATTAAAACCTTGGACTTTTCAAAATCGAATTTACCCTTTTAAATTGACATGTAAGTAAGTAAACATTCTCTACATGCAAATGGTCCAGTAATAAATATATGCCACCATACAATGTAGCAACTGTTTATCCACTAACATGTAAATCATGTTGTTTTTAAAGGACATCTGGGTCAGGAGAAACATGTTTAAAGGTTTGGCTGGACATGGGAAATGTGTGGATCAACATCCTCACTTCTGATGGAACAACATTACAATCAACCAATCAGATTTGAGGTCTAAGTTTTGTCAAGTTTAGACTTACATCCATGCTTAGGAGCTTCTACATTCTCACTACATTCTTATTCACCTATCATTTCCCTCCGATTTTAGAGGTAATTATGGTTAGGATTATGTTAGGGGACTATGGTTTTGGACTGGAACAAGTCTTGGCAAAATCATGGCAGCCTGAACAATACTCAACTACACTGCTTCGGTGCGCACATGTCACAGGGAGAGTTTTTGGGTTTCATTCAGATGTGCTCTTAAAGTAAGTTGTGTCTATGACAATTAGACATTTAGACAAATACATTCAGGAAGAAATGGAAATCAACAGCAGATAGGATTTTGGAAAACTTACAGCACAGACTGAAAGACTGGCTTTTTCATTTTTTTATACGGTTACAAATATGAATGCCTGGAGAATCCAAGTGTAATGGATTATTTTTTTTAAATGTAAGGCAGGACTGGTTCTATGCATTGGTTATTGATTGGATTTTGAGATATGGGCTCTGCACTTAAAAGTAGAGGCCGATGAACATGAGCTTGCAGGGTCGGGTTTAAGTGGATCAAATTCCTGTGAACGTGGACGCATGGACGAATTGTTCATAATAAGATCTAAAACTTGCATTTAGAAAATAGATGCCAGTACCATTTCATGCCGACTTTAATATAAACAAAAGCACATAAACTCACATGTTGCTGATGAGTAGCTGGCATGGCGTATGTTGAAATGTGGCTGCTGGTCCGTGTCCGGCTCTTCAGGTTCAGTGGCAAAGCTGGCGTTGAAGCCAGAGTCCAGAGATTCGTTTGCAGGCAGGGAAATGGGACCAGACACTGTGACAGTGGGCGGAGCTTGTGTAGGGATGGATACAGGTGTCTCTACAGGAGGTTTAGGAGCTGGAGGGTTAGAAACTGAAGGTTCGGCTTCAAGACTAGGGTCCGGTTCCTCTTCAATCACCTCCTCTTGGCGACGCCTCTGCACCACTTCAGCCTGACGGCGGAGCTTCTCTCGTTGCCGTTTGATGGCGGTGACGCGGTCACGGATGGCTTTGGCCACAAGCTTGTAGTCGGCCTCACAGACAAAGCCAAGAACAACCTGAAGGACATGGATTAGCTTTTATGTTTGCTGAACTGTTCAGTAATGGCATGTAAATTAATTTTAGATCTCAGATCTCACCATCTCCTGAGCCACCTCCTCCGGGATATCCTTGTAGAGTTCGAAAAGGAACTCGATGGCATTGTTGTCCTTGTATTTCCCATGGAGTTTCTTGGTGTCGTCCATCCGAAGCCAGAGTTTAAGGCCAGACTTCACCATGTCGTCTTCCTCAGCCAGCTCGACATGGACACCATTATTCTCCTGGAAGAAGGTGTGCTCTAAGAGGTCCTGGATAGTGTATCTAAACAAGAAAATACATATGATCATATACTTTTTACAAAAAGACATCAAGGTTGGCGGGTTAGCATGGCCTAGATACTATCGCTACTATCTTTTTTCAACTAGAAGCCATTCAAAATTAGCTCAATATTTTGCCCAAATAATTTTTTTATAAGCAACATACAAATGGTAAATATTTAATTACTATACTGAGCTAGCTATTTTTAGCGATTGTTTTTGATGAATGCTGTTTACTTGAGCTATTGCTTTTAATAAATGCTATTTATTTTCCCAATCTTTTAAGCTAATTTATAATTACTGTATACTGTCTTGTCGCAGAGATAAGTCAAATCCTAGTATAATAAGGTCTCACATCTTATAAGAGATGGACTGTCAGGCAAGCACTCTGAGGTCCTAATCTGACTGAGAGTAAGAAAATTCAAGAATTCAAGAAAATGGAGTTAATTAAATCAACACTATTAATCATAAGAATTACCTGCTGCTGGATGGAGTGAGTCATTACAAGTGGCTATTGACCAAATGCTTTACATAATGGTTGGATGACATTAAATGGACCATTATCCAGGCATAAATGGGTTATGTTGAATTAGAACACAAGGGGTGTGATTGAGTGATTTCAAGTTGGTTACTAATTTTCAGTTACTTCTCTACAGATACAGAAATGTTTGACTCATGTCAATTGTTTTTTAGTATAAAAGTGTCAAGAGGCAGAATAATTTTAGCAGGGAGTCCACACAAAGTGGATTTGTATGCATATTAGAGTACCACACTGTTAGCTTAGCAATGCGGTTGTGTAGCTGCCTATAAGTACAGCGTTCCAAATTGGTGTTCCCTTTCGAAGGGAACTCAATAATACGTCATCGACGTTATGGGGAACGCCTCAGGCGTGACAGGTGTCTGAAATCAAGTATCAACTCACAGCAATCATGTTGACCGGCGACAGCCCGTGCATCATCAGCTCGAATGATGAGCGCGCAACCTGGATGTATGAAAAGGGTGCCTTGAAACCGTGACAACATATTTTCGTCTTCAGGGACTGTTTGTCGTTTTTTTTTTTTTTTTTTTTTTGAGTAGTCAACAAAAAGAAAATGAAGCGTGCAGAGAAGGGGAAAAATACTTTCCGCAAGTGTGCCGACCCGTGTCCTAGATATTTGACAGCGGAGGATTCACACGATCTGTGCGTTTTCTGCCTGGGAGAAGAGCACGCTCAGGGAGTTCTCGAGGGAGCTTCCTGCGCAAACTGTGAGCGGTTTTCTCTGAAAACGCTCCGTTCTCGTCTGTCCCACTTCTCGAGGGAAGTGGGCGCGGCATCTGAACCCCGCGGTTTTGGTCCCGCTCGGGCTGAGGCTCGGCGGCGCTTGAGCTCGTGGGGCTCTCAGATGGAGCTGGCAGATCAGCTGGAGAGGGGCATTAACCTCGCGGATGATCTGCCAGCTGACGAGGATGAGTTATAGGTCGATGTAGAAGAGGTTCTTTCTCTTTCTGATGGGTCTGTAACTGGTTCTCTTCGGGCCGGGCAGGAGGTGGGTGTTGATGATGTTAGTTTGGTTGAGACCGAACCATTTCAGCCCTCCTGCCCGGTGTACGCTGAGCTGGTGGATGTTATGGGGCGCGCCACCGACAGATTGCAGCTGCAGTGGAGGCGCGTCCGGGAGGAACCTGTTCGTGGTATTTTGGACGACCGGTTCCTCCCCACCCGTAAGCCACCGGCTCGGACAAGCCTTCCATTCCTTCCCGATCTCCACTCTGAGATCGAGAAGGCATGGAAGAACCCGTTCTCTGCGCGTCTCTATCTACATCAGCGAGCTAGTTTCGCTGCTGTGGAGGGAGCCGCGGAGCACGGGTATGTGTCGATGCCGCCAGTGGACGAGACGTTGGCTAACTATCTCGCCTCTGGTCGGTCGTCTTCACTAGAAACTCCGACCCTGCTATCCAAGCCGCTCAGGACAACTTCGCGCTTGAATGGCAGAGCGTACACGGCAGCAGGTCAGGCGGGTGCGGTTCTGCACACCCTCACGGTCCTTCAGGCCTACCAAGCCGACCTGCTGCGGAACCTCGATCAGGGGGCCGGCCTGTCCCCTGACGCGGTCGCGGAGCTGCGCCGCACCACGGATTTGACTCTCCGGGCCACCAAGCAGTCTGCGGTTTCCATCGGTCGTGCGATGGCTGCTATGGTGGCCACGGAGAGGCATCTGTGGCTCAACCAGGCTGACATCGGGGAGAAAGAAAAAACTTTTCTCCTCGATTCGCCGGTTTCGCCTTCCGAGCTTTTCGGACCTTCTGTCGAGACAGTGGTCGATAAGTTCAGGGAGGCGAGGGCGCGCTCTGCGGCGTTTAAGAGCTGCATACCGCGGAGGTCCTCGGCCCAGCCCAGGCAGGCGGGAGGGCCTGGTCCGTCGTGGTCTGAGGATCACAGACGGACCCAGAAGGCCAGTGTCGCTTCCCGTGCACCCCCTCCTCCTAGCAGGGGGAGCAGGGTGCGCAGGAGGCGTAACTCCCGCGGGAGGCAGGATCTCAGGGAGGTGATCCAGAGTAAACGTTCTCGGACTGAACGTTAGACATCACCTCCCTGGATCTTGTCTCCTAACCACCATCGCTCCCAGGCTCCTCCTACATCAGGCCTGGGGCGGGGCCCATGATGAGTTCAAGAATTCTCTGATGGCCCGCTTCAGCTTGGTTGTTAGGAGTGCCTTGCCTTGGTTTGTGAAACAGTAGAACTCAGGTTTCTGAGTTCCTGAGTCCTGATGTGCTTCATTCCGCATGTTGCAGGTTTTATGTTGAGTGAAAATGTTCTTTCTGCACAAATAACATTTTTCTCTTCTTTTTCAGAACTCGTCTCCTGTACAGAGCCGGGGACATGTTTGGAAAAACAAACGAAGGTAATGTATTGTAAAGTGAGTTGAGCTCCCACATGTGGTGGTCGCTGGGTTACAGGCCTCACCAGGCCTTCCAGGCTATGAGCTTCCATGTGTCAGGTCACAGGCCTTATCCAGCCTTCCTGAATATGAGCTCCCACATACTGTGGTTATCAGGTTACAGGCCCCACCCGGCCTTCCTGATATGAGCTCCCACATACTGTGGTCGCCAGGTTACAGGCCTCACCGGCCTTCCTGGTTATGAGCTCCCACATACTGGGTTTCAGGTTACAGGCCTTACTAGGCCTTCCTGAATATGAGCTCCCACACACGGTGGTCGCCAGGTTACAGACCTCGCCAGGCCTTCCTGGTTATGAGCTCCCACATGCTGTGGTCGCCAGGTTACAGGCCTCACCGGCCTTCCTGGTTATGAGCTCCCAAACACTGGGTATCAGGTTATAGGCCTTACCAGCCTTACTGATAAGAGCTCCCACATATTGTGGTAGCCAGGTTACAGGCCTCACCGGCCTTCCTGATATGAGCTCCCACCTACTGTGCTCGCCAGGTTACAGGCCTCACCGGCCTTCCTGATATGAGCTCTCACCTTCTGTGCTCGCCAGGTTACAGGCCTCACCGGCCTTCCTGGTTATGAGCTCCCACATGCTGTGGTCGCCAGGTTACAGGCCTTGCCAAGCCTTCTTGGTTATGAGCTCCCACAGGCTGGGTTTCAGGTTACAGGCCTTACTAGGCCTTCCTGAATATGAGCTCCCACATACTGTGGTCGTCAGGTTACAGGCCTCACCAGGTCTTCCTGGTTATGAGCTCCCACACACTGTGGTCGCCAGGTTACAGGCCTCACCGGCCTTCCTGATATGAGCTCCCACATACTGTGGTCGCCAGGTTACAGGCCTCACCGGCCTTCCTGATATGAGCTCTCACCTTCTGTGCTCGACAGGTTACAGGCCTCAACGGCCTTCCTGGTTATGAGCTCCCACATCCTGTGGTCGCCAGGTTATAAGCCTCACCGGCCTTCCTGGTTATGAGCTCCCAAAATCTTGGGTATCAGGTTACAGGCTTTACTAGGCCTTCCTGAATATGATCTCCCACCTACTGTGGTCGTCAGGTTACAGGCCTCACCGGCCTTCCTGGTTATGAGCTCCCGCATTCAGTGGTCACCAGGCTTCAGGCCTCCTTGGACTTCCTGGTTATGAGTTGTCACATGTCAGGTTTCAGGCCTCACCAGGCCTTCCTGAATGTGAACTCCCACTTACTGTGGTCGCTTGGGTGTGGTTGTTAGCTGTCACCTGCCAGGTTGTAGGCCTCATTAGGCCTTCCTGAATGTGAGCTCCCACACATTTTGACTATCAGGTTACAGGCCTCATCTGGCCTTCCTGATTATGTTAAAACCATACTTATGGTAAGTCACACGACGAAACGTCTTGTGTACTTTCTAAAATCCATTTTTATGGTAAGGGTCATGCGCTGTTTGCTTCGGTCCCTTCCTATATGGTCCAGACCCAGGTCTTTCACCACTGGTCCCACTCTAGATGCGTCCTGTCGTCAAAGTTTGTTACGACAGATGCCCTTTCTGATCCAGGTCTTCCTGGATTCAGAATTACTAAGTACATGCACTTTTGTTTCATGTACTTTCTAAAATCCATTTTTATGGGAAGGGTCATGCGCTGTACGCTTCGGTCCCTTTCTATGTGGCCCAGACTCAAGTCTTTCACCTCGGGTCCCACTCTAGATGCGTCCTGTCGTCAAAGTTTGCTACGACAGACGCTTTTTCTGATCCAGGTCTTCCTGGATTCGGAATTACTAAGTACATGCACTTTTGTTTTATGTACTTTCTAAAATCCATATTTATGGCCTTTCTGAAACTAGCCCCACATGGTGTGGTTATCAGGTTACGGGCCTTGTCAGGCCTTCCTGATATGAGCTCCCTCCTACTGTGGTTGTCAGGTTACAGGCCTCGCCGGCCTTCCTGGTTTTGAGCTCCCACATTCAGTGGTCACCAGGCTTCAGACCTCCTTGGCCTTCCTGGTTATGAGTTGTCACATATCAGGTTTCAGGCCTCACCAGGCCTTCCTGAATGTGAACTCCCACTCACTGTGGTCGCTAGGGTGTGGTTGTGAGCTTTCACATGTCAGCTTGCAGGCCTCATCAGGCCTTCCTGAATGTGAGCTCCCACACATTTTGACTATCAGGTTATAGGCCTCATCTGGCCTTCCTGGTCATGTCAGAACCATACTTATGGTAAGTCACATGATGGAGCATCTTGTGTACATTCTAAAATCCATTTTTATGGTAAGGGTCATGCGCTGTACGCTTCAGTCCCTTTCTATGTGGCTTCCTCAGTGTTCAGGAGGAGCACTGGGTAGACCCATGGATTGAGTGGACGACTTCCGTCTTTTCTTGAGGTTGAGTTACACTCTCCGGGTAATCCCGTCTCTGTGATCCGGAACTGAATGATTTCTGCCAGCTTTGCAGGCCTTCAGTTTTGGATGCCTTTTCCAAGGCAGTTTCCAGAGGTTCTGTCTCGGACAGACAGGCAATGGCCAGACTGTGCGTCTTAGTATAGATCACCAGGCCAGCCTGGTGGCATGTCAGGAGGCATGCTCTCCTGAATAGTGACTGGCTGGGAATCCCTTGAGTCCCCTAGCCACACTCCCTAGAAGGGACCCCTTCTATTAGGAAGTTGTGGTCCTAAGCCTTTGAGCTGGCCCAGATATACCTCCCATGAACTATGTTCTGGCAGTTTCTCGGTTCATTAGCTTGGGCTATGACCGGTAGGGAGTGCTGTCACTGACAGCCCAACGTGACCTAGGGTGAGTGGTTTTAGTGTCCTTTGTATTACTGGTTCTGACAGTTGTTACTGCCATTGGGCATGCACTCCCCTCAGTATGGCGGCGTGGGTATTTCGTTCCCCATAACGCCGATGACGTATTGTTGAGTTCCCTTCGAAAGGGAACGTCTCAGGTTACGACTGTAACCTATGTTCCCTGAGAACAGGGAACGAGACAATACGTCTCCCTGCCATACCTCGGGGCTTGCCTGCAACAGTCCCTTCAGACGATAGGATGTTGTCACGGTTTCAAGGCACCCTTTTTATACATCCAGGTTGCGCGCTCATCATTCGAGCTGATGATGCACGGGCAGTCGCCGGTCAACATGATTGCTGTGAGTTGATACTTGATTTCAGACACCTGTCACGCCTGAGGCGTTCCCCATAACGTCGATGACGTATTGTCTCGTTCCCTGTTCTCAGGGAACATAGGTTACAGTCGTAACCTGAGACGTTTTTTATGAGCAGTGTTGAAGGTAACGCATAAGTAACATGAGTTATGTAATCAGATTACTTTTTCAAGTAACTAGTAAAGTAACGCAATACTTTTAAATTTACAACAAAAGAGTTAATAAAGAGTTTTCAAACAGTTACTTTGTTTTCCCATTTATTGACTGACCTCTTCTGTCCCCGTGTTGAGAGAAATCGGCAGTAAGTTCAGCGGTGTAACTTGACGGTTATTGTAGTTCTAGACTAAATGTGAGCATGCATTTACTCATCTCCCTTGCAACAAATAGATTTAGTATTCCTTCAAATGAATAAAAACAGTGAAATGCAAACTCAGTAAACCAAACTAATACGCAGAATTTACGTTTAATTTATTTATTTTTTATTGCTGAAGTAAGAGTGTTGAACTTTCTTCTCCTGTGTCCTATTCTACTGTGATCCAGAATGACTGCACAGCTGAAAGGTTTGTACAGGCGTGAATACGTTTTGAATACGTTTGTTACTGTACAGGCGTGAATTTGTATTCCCTTCAGCCTGAAGCTTATTGATTTACTCATTCATTTGCTGATTCACATTAATTTACTCATAATTACTTTAAGGGCCAAAAATAGAACATTTTTTGTTATTAAAAAACAAAGCAAGCAAGCCCAACCCAGGTGAGAAAAAGTAACCCAAAAAAATGTAAGGCATTACTTTCCATAAAAAGTAACTACGTTACTTTTTTAAGGAGTAACTCAATAATGTAACTTAAAAGTAACTTCCCCCAACACTACTTATGAGGTTCCATATTGGTTATAAAGTTGCTTCAGAAGCATGTAAGCAAAAATATATTAATAATGTGACTGAAATTAGCTAGGAGTTAAAAAGATGGGCAGGAATGTGTAACTCTCAATGTGTGACCCAAAGCCCTCTGATACCACAGGGGTCATGACAGACAACCCAGAGGAGAATGTTTTTGCCCTAGTAGCACTGTAAAATCTGAAAAAAGTCTGTGTCGGTGTCTTTGACACTGTTGATTCTGCAACATGTGTCAGCTGACCAATGTAGGGTGGAACAAAAATATCAAACAGTGCAGCTGGGTAACAAAAATAGTGGCATGCAGGGATCTCTGAGGAGCCTGCGTGGTATTGTTTAAACGTCAAAAGGGCAAGAATCAGGGTATTGTTGTTTTAATGTGCACACAGTAAAAACTCGTCTGGCAGGTGTTAAAACATTACAAAAGCTGCTGGCGCACATACACAACTTTGCAGTTCTTTGGTTACAGACTTTCTTCTTTGTTGAATGACCTTAGACACTATAGTTACCTTTCGTCTTTGTTCATCCGGATGCATCCCTCAATGATCTCTTTTAGTTCAGGGACTTTCACTTTGTAAAAACTGTCTGGCTTCATTCCCTGAGAAAGAGAAAGAAAGAGAAAGAGAAAGAGAGAGAAAGAGAGAGAGAGAGAGAGAGAGAGAGAGAGAGAGAGAGAGAGAGAGAGAGAGAGAGAGAGAGAGAGAGAGAGAGAGAGAGAGAGAGAGAGAGAGAGAGAGAGAGAGAGAGAGAGAGAGAGAGAGAGAGAGAGAGAGAGAGAGAGAGAGAGAGAGAGAGAGAGAGAGAGAGAGAGAGGAGAGAGAGATTTCAAATTAAATCATTCTGAATTTGCAAAAATGCAAAAATCTAGCTGAAAATGTAATCGATTTGCTGACTACCCACGTCCGCACCATTAAAAAAAAATGTTGAGTGTGTGCAAACAAAACTCAATAATGATACAGACAAGGCTTTCCAGGTTGACCTTCAGCGTTTCAATGTTGAAGCTTCTGTTTGACTTAAGAATGGCTATATGTTACTCTTTAAAGCTAATATTTTTTACTCATTTCACATGCAAAGAGGTTAGCCAATCATAATCATTATATCAATATCATTTTTATATAGACGTGGAAAAAGTTCATGAAAAACTAAATTATGACCTTGACTAATATTAAAAGTGGACTTCAGGGGAAGAAGAGGAAAAACCAATAATGAATATAACATAGACCTGACTAAATAAATTAAATAAATGTTCTGGGTTCAAAACAATTTAATCTCAATTGACAGCATTTGATTCATCCTTCAGTTTGCAAAAATGAATGAACATTAATAGTACTTATAATGGAAACCTATGGGATGCTGTTGATGCTTCATTTGAATTCAATCCAGAAGAGTCCTTTAAAAGGGACCTAATAAAAAATTAGCAGGCAAAACCTAATGCAGACATCCCACCTCTCCCGCATATTGATAGCGGCTCCCTGACGCCTGAAAATTACATACAATATCTCGGAAATCGAGCGAGAAAGAAAGCCTGTTTCCATCTGGTATTCAGATGCGTTTTCAGTGAATCGATCACAAGTGGCCAGCCAATACGCATTACCGGTACACCTGGTATTATCACGCATTTCAAATGCATCTTCTGTGACCACTCGCCTCCTTTTTCATCACACTCAACTACATCATTTTCACTTTCGATGCATGAATACTATTGAATGACCGAGCCTGGGTAGGTGGCTGAATATAATAGTATTGTTACGAGTGGTGTTGGCAGAAGATGAAGGTGAAGCACAAAGGTTCCAATACAAATTACTTTTACTTCCAATAACGGCTAACAGGTACAGGCAGGGTAACACAACACACACTTTACATAAACGAGAACGGACCAGGAATGAGGGAGAACACAGGGTTTAAATACACAGAGAACAGAACAGGGAAACAAGGCACAACTGGGGCAAATTAACACAACACAGGTGAATGAACTGAACACAAACGAGGAGCGGGAAAACTGGAACACAGGACTGAACCAAAAACACTAAGCAGGGGGAAACAGGACACACATGTACTGTAACAAGTATAATATAATTGTATCATCATATTAATACAAATATTAATTGCCATCTCCAGGAAGTGAGTTTTTGCAGGGTGGGATGTCTGCTAATGCAAACCTAATTAATGACAAATAATTTGCCTCCGTTTTACAATATGTACCTTGAATATTGTAAAGAAGAAGAAACTAAGCTTTTTAACAGATTGGCTATATAACATTGTAAGCAGTTTTTAATGCAGCGTACATTTTACATATTGGCCGTGTAAAACTCTAAGCAGTTTTTCCGCATATTTAGTCAACAGAACACACCATGCCAGAAGTGCGTTCAGTCCTTCTGGAGTGAACAGACAATGTTATCTGCGTTATCTGTTGCAGCTAATGACAGGGAACAGACGCCATATTGTGGAAAAACATTGATCACACAAGATATGCTTTGTTCTGTATGGTTTGGTTGACTGTTTTTACAAACTCTATTTTACAAGCCTTGTGAGAACATATAAGTTTCCACAATCGGTCATAATAACCACTCAAAAACACACTTACAAAAATGAATACAAAGAACACTGTGATTAAGTCTATATTGGATTTTAAAGAAAAACATAAAAAGGAATGCACTGCACCGTTATTCTTTAAAATTATTGTTTTCCTAAAAAGACCTTCACTTTTTCATTTAGATGATAGTACATCTAATTCTGGAATCCAATGAAACGGTCTTTTCACAGTCCATCTCCTTTGCTAGTTGAAAAGCAAAATTCAGGCCCTGTCCACACGGACACGGGTATTTTTATAACCGTGACTTTTTTTACGCGGTTCGGCCGTTCGTCCACACGAAAACGCACTGAAACCGAACATTTTTGAAAACCCCTGCCAGGGTGAGGATTTTCAGAAACGCCGGTTACAGTGTTGTCGTGTAGACAGTGAAACCGGGGTTTTTGCCTTGCGACGTCAGAGCGTGCGCCGTTATCCGCTGTGTTTGACGTCAGATTTACGCTTCTGATTGGCCAACGTGGCTTTACGCTTAAGGTTTATATCGCCTCCTGCTGGCGTGTCATGCTCTTGACCGCGCTTGATAGCGTGTTTTTGCGTTTTCATGTAGACGGAGACCGAGCATGTGTGGACGGGATTTTTTTTTAAAAACGCTGTAGGAAAAACTCCGGTTATAAAAATACCCGTGTCCGTGTGGACAAGGCCTAAGGCCCTGTTTACACGAAAACGATTCCGGGTGAAAACGTAATAATATTTTATCGGATGTGCCTTTCGTTTACACGGCGACGGCGTTTTTGGGGCTTAAAAACGCAAAAAAGTGAAACCACCCTCCAAAGTGGAAATCTTAAAAACGCTCCACCGTCGCGTTTCCGTCTAAACGGGTAAAAACGAAAATCTGCTCATGGCGGCTCTCGTCGCGTACGCATTTACGTCACAGGCATGCGCCAGTACAGGAAAATAACAACCAACATGTCGGATTATTTCCATACGTCGGACCTTCAAGTTGCCCTAGCAGCTCTGATAAACGTCCAAGAGTCTTTTCAATTTCGCGCTACTAGGGAGAGAAGTAGAAGGAAGGTTGTACGCAGGCGCACGGACTTGTTGTTGTTGTGTGGCAGTGCTTCACATTGCCACCTAGCCGCCTGGAGTGCATACTACATCGCATTTCTAACACTTTTGCGTCTCCATATGCACGCAGATTTCCCCCCCATAACGCTCGTCTAAACGCAGAATAAAAAGTGAAAACGAAACGCCACTTTTGCGTTTTCTCTTCAGATCGTTTCCGTGTAAACATGGCCTTAGTCAAGCTCTCGTTTTGGAAATGTGAGGCAGCTGAAACCACACTGTAAAGTAGATGTAGATGTCAAGTAGAGGTGAAAAGCACAAAATTGTGATGCAGAGGACATTTTCGTAGCATTATACCCATTTTAGAACCAGCTGATTCAAAGTAAATGTCATGTAAAGTGAACACAACCTAGTGTGTGAATACATGTTTGCCATAAACAGTTTAAAATCCATCACATCATCACTTAAAACTGGGTTCCCTTATCGAGTCGGTCTCTCGACATTACGTATGGGGAAATCCATTTTCCTCGAATCATGAAGTCTGATAGAATAACTCTTTTGCTTGCAAATAGCCAATGGCGGTCCCGCCATCACCTGATTGGCTGACACTGCTCAATATAGGTGACGGCGGGCGCCAAAAACCTCAGAATCTTTTTTCTTCACTCGAGTCTGTTTTCACCGTTGATGTACGCATTCAGAGCGGAGTATATTAAGGAGTTTTAATTCCCCTCTCGCGTTCCGGTGGATTATATTATGTCTCTTTGTCGCCCGTGTGGTGGACCCATTGAATCCCCGGACGCACACAACTTGTTTGCTGTGCCTGGGTCGGGACCACGCAGAGGCAGCACTCGAGGGATCGGGATGTCCCGCCTGTGAGGAGCTTCCCATCAGATCCTTCGTGCAAGGCTGGCCGTTACACGTAGCGACGACCTTGTGTCTCCTGCCTCTCCCCAGTCTGCCGCCTTCGAGCCGCGGACCGGGAGACGGCAGAGATCTCCATTCGCGGGTTCTGCTGAGGCGCTGACGTCGGCCCAAGGTCCACGCCATCCTCACGTGGCAGAGCCCGTGAGTTACTCTTGAGGCCATTTACCAGCCCTCTTGAGGAAGCACGGGAATTATCTCGTTCGGTTACGACGATGACGACGCAAATGGTCCGAGTCTCCGTCTGAAGGCGCCCTCGCCTCTTTGGATGCGGAGCTTATGGCCATTCTCACTGAGGCGGTGGCAGATATGGTGCTGGAGTGGACAGCGCCCAAGGAGCTGCCGTCGGAAAGGTGGCCTCGGCGCGGGCCGTAAAGCTGAAGCGAGAGGCAGTTCAGGAAGTCGCTAAAAAAAAAAAAAAAAAAAAAAAACAGCGCTCCTGATGTGCGTGTCAGGGAGGAAAGAGCGCGGGACGTGTTCGTCGGACCGGTGCGAAGAGGGCGTGTTCCCGCCCAGAGTTCGACGAGAATGTGTTGTTTCTGAAACCGCTGTGTTCTGTTTCAATAACAAGGTACATTACATGTCTCAGCAAAAGAGCTTCTCTCCCCAACATTATTACCCGCCTCATAGACGGGAGACGCATCGCAGAGCGGAAGCTCGGGGAAACCCGAGGAGATGGCTATCTATGTCTCCGTGCATGATGCCGCGGACGAGCTATACCATTTCATATAGCAGTCAATGCTTTCCCGCTGGCTGGCGCCCTGCCCCCGCCGCAGCATTCATTGCCCTGTATGGCGATTCTGATTACTACACAGTGTGTATTCACAGTTGTTGCGCGATGCAACTGACTGTTACGTACACACCACACTGTTATGTGTAAGGATTTATGCCATTATATATTGCCCTGTGTCCTTCAGTGCAATGGCTGTTCTGATTACTGCAAGTACGTGTTCACAGTTGTTGTGCGATGCAACTGACGCTGTGTTACGTACTCACTACACACTGTTGTGTGTAATGATTTATGCCATATATTGCTCTGTGTCCTTCAGTGCAATGGGTATTCTAGTTACTGCGCAGTACGTATT